TGCCGAGATTGTTGATAAAAATTTTAGAATAAACTTTTTGGCATGAATGTTAAATACGATCATATAATTCCTTTTACTAATGCATGATATTTAGACATACGATATCATATCGCGTATTTAAAAATATTGTACTATTTGTAGGTTTGTTTGTAAATAGATATATATGTTATTGTTGACTTGAATTATTTTATTAAACTTAAATTATTTTTACTGAAGGGAAAGTACTTTTACCAAACTAAAATTATTTTTACTGATTAAAAATTATTTTTTACTAACTTTCTATTTTTTTTTTTAATAAATTAAATATATTATAAATGGATTTTATTTTAAAGAACTTTTCAAAACAAATTTTATGATGAAAATAGAACCGAGGTTTACGATATTTATTAAAAGTTATGATTAATTTTGTATATATGAAATATTAGAAGTATATCGATAATAAAACTCTATACAATATTTTTATCTTTGAAAATCTATCTAAAATTTGCTTACTTAGTATCATATGTGTCACAATATATATATATATATATATATATATAAGAAGGATCTTATAATGAGAAGGAATCTTGAACTTTCAATCAGATGAATCTAGCGATTCACATTTAACCTTTGCGAAACGCACATTTAGTATAAATATTGTGCACATTTATTTTTCATTATTTGAAAATCAACCTCCTACTAATTTATTATGCAAAAACACCACCACCATTCTCCTATTTAACTACATCATCTTTGGTTGTGGAACGCAACCATGTTACTCCTAGAGCGAGGGGGCTCACCATATGAAAACTCGAACATAACATTCAATTCAAATATTGATGTTGGAAAATTTATCTCAACAGCCTTTAGCTTGGTGCGATAAAATTATTGTTCCGGCGATTGTAGAGATAAGGATTGTGAAAAAGAGGAGAGAGAATTGGGGAGTGAGATCTGCAGATGTAGCAACAGCGAGCAATGGTTGCAGCGAGGAAAGTGGTGGAGAGAGAAAGTGAGAGTTTCAATAGACTGAGCACCATTGTTGGAGCTTGGAGGAAAGAGAAAGTGATAAGAACTAACAATGGCACGACTAACAATGGCAAGAGAAAAGGCAAATAAGATAATGAAAATGGAAGAATTTTTTTTTTTTAAGCGTTGGTTATGAAAATGGAAGAATTACTTTTTTTAAGCGTTGGTTGTGTAAGTGAGTTTATATGTGTGTGTGTGTGCGTGCGTGCGTGCGTGTGTGAACTGCTATTCGTCGTTCGCAAATTACAGGGTGACGCTCCCATTTTTAGGTGAAATGACTTTTTGCCCTTGTGTATTTTTTGTATATAAGGGTCCACCATGAGTCACTTTAGATACCGACAAGTTAAATATTGTTCCCGAACCCACCACTTGTGTTAAAAAAATCCCGAGCCCCAAAAAATCTCGACCCACCATTGTACGGTAATCCCGAGCAATTTAAAAATCCCGAGGCACAAACGGAAAGTGAATCGAGCCGTGTTAGACGATGAACGACGACAACGTTCATACGCCGGAGGATTCGTCGGAAGAATTTGTGAGTTTTAGGAATTTTTTTTTTATTTTTGGAAATGGGACTTTCGCCCAAAATTTCCGAAAGCGTAAGTGGGGATCCACCCAGAATTTCCGGATCACCTACTTAAGATTCGGAAATTCCAGGCGGATGTAGAGATCCGCCTGAAATTCCGGGATCTTAAGTGGGTGATCCGAAAATTCTGGGCGGATCTCCACTCAAGCTTACGGAAATTTTGGGCGGAAGTCCCTTAAACTTTTTTTTTTTATTAACGTAATTGCCTGTTTTATTATTATTATTATTATGAATAATAGTGATATTAGTTATTATTACTTTATATTATGTATTATTTGTTAATGTTATGTACTTATTATTATTATTATTATTATTATGGTTATTATTATTATTAATTTTGTTAATATTACTAATTTTTTTGTTATGATTATGATTATTATTATTGTTGTTGTTGTTGTTGTTGTTGTTGTTGTTGTTAGTATGATTGTTGTTGTTGGATGTTTATTATTTTTATAGTTTTGGTGCGCATAAATTGGGTTGCGTAAATTTTGTTGTTTGTAATTGTTTTTAGTATTGTATTATTGTTATTGTTACTTGTTTTTGTTAGTATTACTTTATGTGAATGTTAGTTTATAGTGTTTGTGTTGTTATTTTATAGGATTCGGAGGTTGAAGGAGGCGGTGACGTTGTGAATTACAGTGCAAATTTTGTGACAGACACGGTTTTTCGAACGTTTGAGGATGCAGTTAAAGGGCGAATGCTGTTGCCATAAATCTAGGATTTATTCTGGTGAAATCGTCTTTCAACAAAACCAGAGATGGTCGACCATATCAGTATTTGAGATGTGATCGGGGACGCAGGAGTAAGCCGAGAGATCTTGAGAACGCAATTCGGAAGGACACAAAAACCAAAGCCAATGGTTGTCCTTTCTACATCAAGATATACTATGAGTTCATCACCGACAGTTGGATTATCCGGGAGAAAAATGATGAAACTGGACCCACAACCATCCAATGATTGCGTATCCAGAGGGGCATCGTAAAATGAGTGGTTGAGCCCGGATGCGAAGCAAGTTGTGCGTGACATGACGAAGTCTAAGGTTGCACCGCGTAACATCATGACGAAGTCTAAAGTTTTAGGAGAGTAATATAATTTCTCTCTCTTACTTTAAACCCCACTCAAATTATTTTATCATTTCTCTCTCTTCCATGGTCCCCACTTAAAGAGGAAGTAGAAATGGAGGAATGTTATGTATTTGTTCGTACATAACATGACAATTCGTAAATATTTAAAAAATTAACATTAGTACCACTGAAATGTGAAATGTATCATTGTTATTACAATAGTACTGTAAATAGTTAAAATTACACTAAAGATTGTTACAATGGTACACTTTTGAAGCTAATATATGTACCATTAGGTTGTGAAATTATGTCATTGGAGTGGAATGGTGTAATAGTAGTTGTAATGGTACTAAAATGATTATAGCGGTACAATTAAAACCTGAAAATTAAAGTGATAATATGTGGTCCCATCACCTTTTTGTTGTACTAAGTTACCATTATGCCCCTGTTATAACTTTCCTCCCTTTAAAATGCCTCCCACTTAAATAATAAAAATATATATCCTCTCTCACATACTTTCTCTTTCATGGTCCCCATCTTACTTTTACTACAATAATTTATTCACCCACTCACAATATTATATTACTCTCCTAAAACTTTTTGCATTCCCAAGTGATGCAAATAAAAATAAAAAAAACAAAAAAAAAAAAACGGAGGGAGTAGAATTTTATACAACCGCAAACAAAAGTTTATATTGTATGAAAACTAAACGTAAAGCTTGCTTCATAAGCAAACTAAATGAAACAAGGGTAACCCACTTTGGCCCTAAAGCTAATAAAACAATAAAAATATGCGAAATTTTCAATAGTAACCCTCAATTTGTGCTACATGGAAATGTTGACCCGCTTGAAAATGAATTATACAAAATGACCTTATTTAAGAATTTTATCTCACTCATAATTTTTTTTTTTTTTTTTTTTGAACAAATCTCACTCATAATCTTATTTCATTAAATTGTTAATTAAAATTAAGTAATTAATTATAGTTAAATGTATTTTTAAAAAGAAGGAAAAATACTTAAAAAAATTAACAACCACCAACCATCTACCCACACCACCACCACTAGCCAGCTCCCCCCTCCCCATCAACGCGACACTAACCCAGGCCCCACACCGACCATCGGCCACCCGGAACCCTCAATTGTATTCTCCCCTTTTCCCCAATTTCGTATGCTAGGGTTTGACGACGACGAAATTACCACTCCGACGTCGATTTCGATGGTTTGGGGGTCGGAGTGGGCCGGCTAAGGTGGTTTTTAGGGTTGGGAGGGGTCGGCCGGCTGTTTTCCGACGGGTTGGGGGTTGGCCCTGGTGTTTTGCAGTGATGTAAGGAGAGGAGATGGTGGCTGTTAGGGTTTTTAGTTTTTTTTTTTAAAAAAAATTAGACCAATCACGTGTATTGGTTACCTGTTACAAGAAGTCGTTGACTTAGTGTTTGACCGGTTGGGATCATTGGTGGCAAAGTCAAGGCATAGTTAGGATTACTAAAAATTAAACCTTAGTTGGAATTATTAGAAGTAAATCGTCAATAATTGTGATTATTAAAGTGCATTTTTCCTATAATAAAATAAGGTTATAAGTGGGATAAAATTCTTAAATAAGGTCATTTTGTATAATTCATTTTAAAGAGGGTCACCATTTCCATGTAGCACAAATTGAGGGTCAACATTATTATAAAAAAAATTAAAAATAAAATATAAAATATTGAGGGTCGATATTGAGAATTTCCCTAAAAACATTCACAAAACTCAAGGCTAATCAAAAGTACCATAGTTATAAGGTGTCAACTAATTCGCAATATTTTAAAACCTCCTAAAAATGAATTAATTTGGTAGAGGCGTATAATCAAACAATATAAATGCATTTTAACCAGTTTCATTTATATTAGTAAGCCATAATTAATTACTTCAACGAATATTCAAATTGAAATTTAATCCACTTCGGCTTATACAGTTGTACTGTATTTTGCTTTAGATACTTTCGACCATTAAGGCTCCATTTGTTATGACCGAAAATAACTTTCTCATTTTCCACTGTTTGATTTGTAAAGAGATGAACACTTTTCCCAAAGGTGCAAAATAGTTCTCCAAAGAGTATTAAATATTTTGCTTCTAACAAGAAAGTAAGCCACATTTTCCTCCCTATTTGAGTATTTTCCCCTTCCTATATACAGAGTAATTTTTCTTATAAGAAAACAAACAAAGAAAAAGTATTTTTACAATTGTCTATCTCTTGGAAATTACTTTTAACGGAGAATCATTTTCCCAAACAGCTATTTTCCGTTAAAACAAACGAAGCCTAAATCACATAAGTGGAAAATGAAACTTTAAAACCTATAAACAGTAAGAGTGATCTCCAGAAATGTAAATCATATTATTTCAAACAAAACACAGATCCCTCACTTGTTCCATAGGGTTAACTCCAAACCAGAGTTTAAGTATGACTTATGAAATATGTTCAACTACAAACTACAAAAAAAAAAAAAAAAAAAAAAAAAAAAAAAAAAAAAAAAAATTCCACAAAGCAAGCTAAATAAACCTGAAAACTTGACGACCCAGAACAAGTATTCATATACACAAACTTCATGTCGACGCATTGCCACCTTGCCGAAGTACCACATATTTATAGAACTTGGACTAGGGCCACTAAACAAGCTACCTTTTAACTTCCTACTTCTTGGTTTGTCACTGCCATCACATTGTCATTGGTTGGGGGCGCCTGCATAAAACCACGTAAATTAGCTAATTAACTAAAAACAAAAATTCAGGCAAACCAAAATCACTTCGAAGATATTCCTGAGGGCTTCATTCTGTTCAACGAACCAGCAGATGCACCCAGCTATCAAAATACTCGGTAGAGAAGAACACCATTCACAGTACAACACTGCAGTAAACACCAAAAATGTACAGAACCCCATGAGGGAGCATTTTCCAGAAACCAAAAACAAAAAAGAATGGTTGTGCAACCAAAATCAGACCACACAACAGCTAGCTTTCCAGAAATATGAACAGAATGATAATGTCCCCATGCAGACTGTTTATTAAAGCTAATCCAAAATGAGCATCCCAACAGAAGTCCTCTTTTCTATTTCTTAGTGTTCATCCACTTTTACATGAATCCCATTTGACAGCTTTTGTTGATAGCACTACTTACTCCCCAACAAGAGGGAAATTGACACCCTCACCTTAAAGACCAATCCCAAATCAGACACCATTGCTAGCTAAAAACACCAGAAGCAAACTGCTGACGAATGGATGGTCTCCATTAGCCAATCTAAATTCCGAATCCTCTGACCACGTAGCATCCCAATCAAAGAAGCAGCTACAAATTCTTTCATTTCTTTACACCTGCATACTGTGGGCACAACCTCTCCTCCGTTAAGCCCCTGCAAAAATCTTAAACCTCAACCCTCATCAATCGAAAAACCCTCAACCCTCATCAATCGAAAAATCCTCGAAGCCTCATCAATTGAAAATCGATTTTTGACGGAATGAAAAAGAAATACAACCCCAGGATCTGTTAAACTGCAACATAAAATTCCATTTCTCTAACCGCCTAAAAAAAAAACCCTGTATTTCTTGCTCCACTCCAAATCCCCAAACATAAACAGATCTAATTCTTCCACCATAACCTGATGCTACCCCTATGCATCATCACCATGTCATATTAACCAGATAGAAAGAGTAGATACCTGGTTACGGTAATTTTACACAAACCCCCGCAAACATCAACCATTAGGAGGTTGAATTTGACCATTCAAGGCTCTAAAACACAAATTTTGTAAGCCAACCTATGAACCAACAGGAATTTCAAATCTAAAGGCAATACCGAGATAAGAGTAACTTTTGCTATGGTAGAAATGGAGTTTGGTAGTTAAATTAAGGACGGACATACTAGAATTTGAAGAGATGGAAATGAAGGTAAAACATATTGATGAATAAAAAGATATGAGATTCTACTCCCTTTATCCCATTCCTTTTCCCTTGGTAAAACAAATGGGTACTACTCACCAAGAAAAAAGCACTTTGGAATATTATGAAAGCTAAAGATTTAAAGACTTCTGAGTAGAACAAGACAAGACATTCAAAAAGGAATAAAGGAAAAATACTGGATAGAGGAGAAGGCTGGGAAACAAGGGAGCAAAATAAGTGCAGCTTATCAACAGAATAAAGCGAAGGACTATCAACAAAAAAGCAAGGAAAACTAAAATCCGCTAAAGCAAGGGAGTTCGGGTGAGCTAGATCAGTACATGATCGAATTCTGGAATAAGGTTAATATGAAAATGACAGGATATTGGGTCTGCAGCAGTGCGGCCACAAACAATCAGACACATCGAGAAGGCCAAATACAATAAAAAGAAGTCTTGTTTGTTGTATTGATTGATTTATATTCATCACTTGCAAAGAGTTGAATCATTGTCATTGAGTGTGATTTAAAAATCACTCCAATATATTACCACAATCAATACATCATACTTCTTCCGTTCTTTTTTACTTGACCCGCTTTGACTTTTACACACTACTCACCACCCCTCCTTTGACCGTCTTTTGTGAATAAATATGTAAGGAAAAACATATTCATATGAAATCTTTTTGAATTCGTCTCGATAAATACTATCACAATATATACAACTTTTATAATTTTTACTTATGGAGAATTAAAGTTATTGATCACTAAAGTTTTGCATTGGCAAGCGTGATAAAAGAAACAGGTCAAGTAAAAAAGAATAGGGGAAGTATCACTTAATCCAAACAGCTCAGTTATTATTACAATGTCAGCATCTTAAATAATAAACAAAAGTTCAAGAAAATGGAGAATACTTCAGAGCCAATATAATGAAGTAGACAACTGCTGGCAAATAATAAGAAAATTCCATCATGATCAGTAAAACAAGTTCTTAGGGTTCATCATGTGGAGTTCAAAAATTATTTTTTTTAACCACAAGACTCACAACCAGAACCATATGTCATGATTTCCTCCAAAAAAAAAAAAAAAAAAAAACAACCATATTTCATGAATGATGTAAACAAAGAATTGTTTAAGAAATTCAATATAATAACAGGATCACAATATAGGACAATAGGATTCCCAAAATAGGTAATCAAAAGGGCATGTATACATTTTTTACACAGGCGCCAAGAGTTGAACATAAAATAGGACATTGAGTTTCAGCACATGCATAGAGGTGCATTAGTGTTTCCCATACTTGGACACTAACTGATACACAATGATAATATCACCTCAGAGAAATCAAGAATTATAACAAATAATGAATAATGATAATAGACGGAACAGGCATATCCATATATTTATCCATGAAACAAACATATCCTGATAACAGCAGCTGCTGATGCCTAAGACTTCACTAAAGACATGCAAAAAGAAAAAAAATGAAGATAAAAGAAGAGAGAGAGAGAGAGAGAGAGAGAGAGAGAGAAAGCAATAATTACCTTGAAGCTGAGTTCGTTTATCGTAGACCTCAACAACGTATCTCCAACAATTAGGCGCAACTCCTTTACAAAATCCTCTCGACAAATTATCTTGTTCTGATACAACACAAAAGAATGAGGAAAAAAACTAACAAAACACAAGCATAGAGATTGAAAAGGGTAACCAAGACAATCCATACCCTGAATAGCTCATAATATGCAAGCAACAACTTCATTTTATTTCGCGGAACTTGCTTTGAAATTGCTTCAAATAACATCGGAAACGGCATCCAAGGGGATTTTGGAAATGAACTCACACTTGCACTTCTTTCTTTACTTCCATCACTTGTCAAATTCGACACATGATCATTTGCCTGAAAATGTATGGTATTAGAGTTATTTAAGGATCACACATCATTGATTACTATCGTACAACTCAATCTACATAAACCATAATCAATAAGCTCAATATTAATACAATGCGCAAAAACTTCAACCATAAGAGGCTTACAAAATTGTTCTATAACCATAAAACGTATGAGATGTCACAATTGGTGTCAGCTTTGTTAAAACCAGATCTTTCAGATTGTTTGGAAAATGGCTTTTTGATAGGCTTTTGGCTTTTAAATTTGGTCAAACAGATTTAAAAATATATACTCCATTTGTGTTTTTTTTTTTTTTTTTTGGCACACTAGCTACTACACGGAATTTCAAGAGAGATTTATGGTAGGTAGTTAAAAAATGCGAAAAATGGAATCAGTTTAAAGGCCACTTGTGGGAATCGGGTCAAAGTTCAGCAATGGATGATTGCGGATGTCAGAATTCACTAGCCAGCTTTCTGTTTTTCTCGATTATCTGGTTGGTTTTCTTCCCATAAGTGCTAAGTTGAATTATGATCTATCCAAGATTGTTATGGTGAATAAGAAGATTAGAATGTTTTGTGTATGCCTTGTGTGATTGTGATATTGGTAGACAGATTAGTGAAATGGTAGATTGGTGGGATCAGTGATGAAACAAGTAGAAATTTAATGGTATAATTATGAAAATATGGAATCAGTTTCAAGGCTTGTGGGAAATAGGCTGAAGTTTAGTAAAGGAAGATTGTGGATGTCAGAATTCATTAATAAGCTTTGTTCTTTTTTTTGGGATGTCACATTTCATTAGCAAGCTTTTGTTCTTTTTTTTGGATTGTCTGAAGGGTTGTCTTCCATAGAAGATTAGACGGTTCTTTGTATGGCTATATGAAATTGGTAGGCAGATTAGTGAATTAGTAGGTTGGAGGGCATCATTGATGCAGCAGGCAGAAGTTCAACAGTATTACGCATATTAATACCATTGCCAATCTACTATTTCGCTAATCTGTATACCAATTTCACAATCACAAGACATAAACAGCACTCCTCTTTAGCAGCAACGAATGAAACCTCTAGTATCACCAACTTTACAAAATCACAATGCTAGATAGAATTTTGTTATAATCACCTTAGATAATCAAACCTAACTCATGCACAAACAAAAGGCAAATGAAATGCGAACAAATATGTATGTATTCCATTCCACTTTATGAAATTTCTCACTATATTTTTCTTGCATAACCTAAAATCTGCATAAGGTATTTTAGAGCACACATTATATGCAGCTAAAAAATGTCTTATCAGAAAATGACTAGCAATTAAACTGTACAGGTAACAGAAGATCAGCAAACTTAAAAAGCCAGCTACAGCATCACACTGAAATATGCATAAGATATTTAAAGCACACATTTTATGCAGATAAAAAATGTCTAATCAGAAAAATAATGGTAGTGATAACTGTACAGGTCACAGAAGATCAGCAAACTTACAATGTCAGCTACAGTCTCCATTTTGCACTGTTTCATAAGGCTTTGATGACCGGTCTTGACAGTTACAATATCAAGGTTGCCATCATTCTTCAAAATTTGACCTGCAATATTCATTTTCTAGTTCTCAAGTAAAAATAAAGAAATCCAAGTGCACAAACAAAATAAGAATGTCAAGGCATGTGTATAAATTGATCATGTAATTCCAACGAAATTTTTTCTCGAGTGTATTAAATAGTGCTTGAAGCATGGACAAAATCAAACATGAAAGTCTTGCCCGGGGAGAAAATTGGAGTACAAATTGCTTGGCATTTTGGCAATTTGACTAGTACGCTAACCTCATAGAGAGACAGAAAGAGAGAGATGGAAAATACAAAATCTTTGAGTGTATAGGCATAAAATATCACCTTCATCATTAGCAGGGACCTTGAAACTAACAACATACTCAGGGTATATATGAGTATTGATATTCATGCTCCACACTATATAATGTCGTGGATTTTCAGGATCATCAACTCCACTGTCAAAGCTCTCGCTACTAGGGTGGAATTGCTTGGATCCGGGATGAACTATCTCCATATTTCCCATGATGACACGACAAAGAACCATATGTTGCACTCCATTTTCGTCAATATCACAATAATTTACACTGTAAACAAGACAATATCTTTAAAAACCTCTGGCATTTGGTTGCAAAATATATGGCTGGCAGCAATCTAAATAATTACAAGGGTTGGACAGAGTTCAGAAGAACATGCAACAATCTTAGCAGAAGCACGAAATACTTTGTTGATAAGCATGCATATACTTAAACATGCTGGGGCACAGGTGAGAATATTCTTGTCACAGTTGATTTTCAATTGTAAACAAAATCAAACTAACCCATCATATTCTATTGTTTCACAATTCACATCACATTGATAATCATGATTAACAAACTTTAGTTTCACATGTCATATTTGAAATTTATTGCATTAATTTTTCTTTTTTCCTTTCAAGACTTCAATTTATTGCTCAAATTCACTACTCCCTTTTGAAGTCTCAAATCATTAATATTTTTATGTAGGTTTTGCATCACACTTTTTAAAGGAAAAAGAAAATAATATCTATATTTAAATTACAATTTCAGAAAAAAAAATTCTGAATTTAACAATCACTGCAGCAAATTTTAAGAATGTAAACTTATACAATCTAATTAAAAATAAAATCGACCTTTGCATTGCAAGGGATAAATATTATGGAGAACTATACTAATTTTTTTAAAAAAAAAAGACCAGAATTCATGCTTGCCTAGACTGCAAACCACCTGATGTAAAATACACAAATGACACATTTCAGCACTCTGCTTCAATCAAAATTAAAGATGCAGCCACAATATCTACATACAGATGGAAAAACAATGATGTCTGCCAAAGTTGATGTCATCCAATTTGGCAAGCGAAAATCTACAATAAACTATGCTAACAGGAGAAAAAAGCGCAGAAGCCCACGGTTAGCCTCAGTCATATGACAAATAACATGCATACAAGCATCCAAACATGGTCAAAATGGCATTGTCTGCAAAAACATCAAATCCCCTAAAAACCAAAGAACCAGTGTCAGATATGAATTCGGGCAAACCTGATAATATCTTGCAGTCAAGAATCTCAAGATCATCCTTACTCTACAAAGACAACTACAAATTGCTTGTAACAGCAGAGCTTTGAAGTTCACAATAGACATGATCAGCCTTATAAATTTACTCCCAGAAGATGACAATGAAAACCCTAAAGATACGAAGAGAAGATCGATGCTCACTTTAAGAACCTTGCACAGGTCTACTTAATGTACAGTATAACCAAGATCCTTGAATTAATTTGCTAATCTCATTCCAAATTCGATAGCAGATGAGATTTGTATGGTACTTGAGCTAGAACAACCAAATTGGCAAACAAGACCCTTAGATGTCACATTCTAGCTCAGGGTAGAACATATAAACCTTTGCCAATAGATTAGCCTAGTAACTATTCTGCATCTCACTGCCATAGATCTAGAACATAAAAGAATCAATTACACATTCGCATGAAATAATTTACTCCTGAAGCAGAAGTTTATGCAACATTAAGTAGCACTAGCTATCACCCTGTGCCTCAAAGATCATACCCTCACAATAAACCAATTGTAAACAAAACTACACAGCAAAAACACACACATGTAAGCACAGTGGATAAAATTTCCAGCTTGAAGTTCAGGAAAATTACGTTGTACATGAGATGGCAGCAAACCATAAGTATTGACATTCAAATCAGATAACGTTCTAAGCAAACCAATTATTCACATTCTTCATTTGGCGCTAAAAACACTTCTCTTAGTAACCAAAATAACACATCTGGTTCAAAATGCATAACTCGGCCCAATGGTCTACCACAACTTTCTAGTGAGGTGACATGTATATGATCAAGCATTAAAAAAAAATTTGTGAACAGGTGCAAGTATGAGCAAAAGCATAAAAATTACTGAGGTGTGTGTATGTGTGAGCTCACATGTGCACATGCCTAGATGCAAGCAAGAATGTACGCCTAATATAAATAAAGACAATAATAAATTATAAAGAAAAGAAAGTAAATTATAACCTGGCACCAGCACAGTTTTCAGCTGTGAGATGAACACCAATGCCATATATGGACTTGGTTTGCTGAAAGCCCAAATGCCCTAGTCCGTAAGTCATAATTCCAGAAGATGCTTCTTTGGTAGATGCAAGCCATGCATAGCAAACATTAGGATTACCACGGTATTTTTTCGTTATCTCAACCTGCTTCAAGAAAAGCTCCAACCGACCTTGGCACATAGCAGCTGAGTTGGGACAAATTCCTACAACATTTGTACTACCAGCAGAATCCATGCCCTTTAGAAACATTTCTTTCACAGCATCAGAATTCAAATCAAATTTCACTTTATCAACCTCAGCATCCAAATTATTCTCAAGATGTTGATTTTCTCCAACATCTTCATTCATCCTCACATCAGACACCTTATTGCAGCTATCCTCAATTTCAGCATTCTGACCAACTTTTAAACGTTTCACAACAGGACTTGATTCACCGCAATGTTCAATAAATTGTGAGTCACCAACCCCATTTACTTCAATTTCAATCTGCAGCTTTATCTCTTGAGTGTCATTTATCCCATCTCTCTGAATCTCTGGTTGGAAAAGCCCATGCTGATCATTGACATCAACATAAACTTCCGGAAAGAAACAGCATCCATTTTCATCAATCCATGCAATGGACTGTTCCAAAGAAGTTTTCAAATTGAGTTGCACCATATGCACAAAATCAAGCAGAAGATGGTAACTCTTGAATTTCAATTCAACAGCACCCTTTTTAAACTCAAAATCTTTTTTAACCAAGCCAACAACTTCGGAATCATGATCAACCCATTCTCCATTCTGGAAAAACATCAAACGTTTGGGCAGCCCACTTTTCATAAAATTTGCGTAGTAACGAACCAAGGATCTACGAGAACCAAGTTTACAGCTCCTGCACTTGGCCTTGCAGACATCAGGTTTCTTTCGCTTGCCAAGCTTAGATGACTTCAAAGTAGAGAGGGGAATGACATTACGCGCCACATTCGTAGCAAACTTAGCAGCTCTCTTCCTCTTCAAGTCAACAACAACTCTACGACTACTATCCAATACCTTTGCGTATTTTCCTTCCATTGGTATATAGTGGATCAATCCCTGTAAACAAACCTAAATCCAAAAATTCACCTAGAACAAGGCCAAACAGTTTTGACTCGTATGTACAGATCAAGAGCGCGGCACAGGTGCCATAATATACAAGTGATCAACCCTGTGAGAAGCAGACTTTCACATGTTATGTTTAGCACAAAAAAATTAAAATGTAGAGCAATTGCATTAAAAGAAAGACAAAAGTATAAGTTACAGAAAATGATATGGTCACAAGCCACATACAAAAAGAGTGGTAAATAAAGCAAAATTTCCATTAGTAATAAAGACCAATTGGCACAAACCTGAGAGCAACTGAACTGGATTCCATTTATTATGAAAAAAAACCTTTAAAAAAAGATATAGTACCTAAAAAAATGAACAGATTAGAGAAGAAAAGACGCATGATGCAAAAGTAATGCACAAATAAACTGGCATTAACACCTTCCAATATTATTCGGTTCAAACACAAAAATAGACCAAGCACCAAGTATACAGTAAAACATCAAAGTTACTCAACACCCAACAAGTTGGATAAATAACATTTTCTATTCCTGTCTTTCAAATATTCCACTGGAGACTATTGTGTTTCATAAAATCCAACAGAGGCCCTTTCTATTATGCACAGTTTATGGGGGAAAGAAGAATGTCAAAGGGGCTGCACACGGGAGTGAAACCACTTACTTTCTCCTTTTTTTAATCGGGACATTTGAAATTCTGCCACACACTCCTTTAATTGGTTTTTTTTTTTTTTTTTTTGGTGATTTATACGTTTAAAAAAATATAACCATGTGGGATCTTGTTAGATTTGTCATGAAAAATATAATAGCAACTTTTTATAATTTTTACTAAAATACAACTTTAGATACTTAAGTGCAGAATGTGCATTGCAAGCGTAAAATCTCCAATGTTAATAGCCATTGCCTTTCTGAACAATTTATCAGAAATGTAACATCATACAAGAGTTGAATTCAAACAATATAAATGAAAGATTCAACAGTTGATGAAAAAATATATTAGGGTAAAGTAGCGAAAAAGACCCAATTCTATTGACTTATACACTAATCCATGAAATTTATTGCACAAATCCGATAACCTTGAAATTCTACTAGGTCAAACCAAAGGAGCTTATAAAACAATTTATCAAATACCACACTAGAACTACGAGACTACAACTCCCTTCATACAAGAAAATTGATCTCCAAACTTATTTTTCCACAATCAAACTCTAGCATTATTGAAAACACCAATTAAGTATAGTCAAGATAACATAATTGTAAGAGGATTAAAAATCAACAATACCTATATTACACAGAGATGATGCTAACTTTCATACAATATGGACAGATATATTTCACAATTGCTACCAATCTTACTGTCGTCCCATTGGAATATCCCAGCCACTTGACAGATGTACTTGTGGATTATCTACTTAGCATTACCTGTCAACTTCAAACCATATTAGATAAGAAGAAAATAGGGGTGGGAGAAGAGGAGCACATGCCATTGCAAAAAAAAGTCATATGAACCTTACATGTCAAATATAAATAAATTACTTTATAAAATACACATAACCACCACCAACAACAACAACAACAAAATAATAGTAATAATACCCCCCCCCCCCGGCTTGAACAGTTTAAACAATCCAAGACAGTTTAAGCATACAACTTGCAGACACAATCACAGCAAGAAAATATCAATTAAAACAAGGAAAAAAAACATAATTGCTCGATCTAATCAGTGGTTCAACAGAGAGAATAAAAAAAATGTAAAAAAAAAAAAGTCAGCAAATCAATAACCAAAAGGATAGAAATTGGACAGTATTGCACAGCAGACAAAATTTTACAATCATAAGGAGCAAAATGTTTCATAAATGTTACTTTACAAAATACAAAGCCACCACCTTTGCCTATATATTTGTCATCTAATATAGTAGCTGCAAACAATTCAGACAAATACAGTCATTGTAAAAGAAGAATTTTTTAAATAAAATATCGCTATTATTGTCCAATTAAAGGTCTTTGAGAAAACAACATAGGAAAACTATTTTCAACTGCTACGCGATTACTAAATTTCCCCAATTCCTCCAATTTCTCTCTCCCTACCAAATACTTCAATGGGCACATTCATCTACAAAAGTAGTTACAAATACTTCACTCAAAAAATCTAAAGAATGACCAAAGTGATAAAAGACTCCAAGTCATCATCCTCCTTGATTCAGACGGAATATATTCGTTATGTTCCACTTTGTTGGCACCAGTATTTTTTGCTTGATCCCTAGTTAATACAATTCGGTTAGTATAAAGATTCTAATCAGGGTTATTTAATCATGCCCAAGTACAAATTCTTTCAACCTTTATACGAATTGAAATCTTTATCTATATCTACCTATACTAATATTTTAAAATGAGAACTTATCCTACCATGTAGCCATGTGTCCCATCCAAACTCTTTTAATCTCTATTTTTAAACATTTTTTTTTATAACCACAATGCATGTCCATGTATTTTTTTAAAAAATAGATAAAAATAAAAAAAAATCTACATACATATTCACATCTTTTCATTTTATCTATTTATTTAGTTTCACATCTCAATTCTCAATTTCAACAAACTCAAATTTATCCTCTATGATGTTTCAAAATTTTCAATTTATATTGACAACCATGATTTTATTTTTTTTTTTCCGGTTATTAAATCATATTCTTTATTTTTAGTGTTTTTTTTTTTTTTGGCATTGATCCTTTTTAAAGGTTGCATTATAATTTTTTATGTTCATCGATTAATTAGTTTCTTCAACTATTTTAACCTATTAATAATTATTGTTTATAGGACATAGGTAAAACTAGCTATGAGTATTTAAATTGAATGAACATGACGTATAAATTTTTTGACTTAATTTAATTTATTCACAATTTTAGATAAATGTCTAAAATTTAAATAGCATTTTAGCAAAATATAAAAATAATATACTGTATAATCATAAAAACTTATAAGAAAATCAACACGTGCATTGCATGAGGTAAATACTAGTTTCATTTTTATACCAAAACTCTTTAAGCTAGCTTCTCTTGAAAGAAAGTTTGGTAGTTGTAAATTCTGCTACTGTGTCAAACCACTTGTTTAAATTCTCAATCTTTTTTTTAATACCTACATGTAATGAACATAATCAAAAATCAACAGACATTACATTATTAATTGTTTGTCGGTGCACATGTGCTAGACCCAATTGACAAAATACAATGCTTCTGGATTTTTTATTTATTTAGAGATCGTTCATAATCCTCATCTGTTTTCAATTTCCAGTCTTTTCATAAACTACAAACAGGAATATGAAATCCTAAAGAAGTCAAGTTTCACAAGTTAACACAGTTAGTATGAGCATAACAAGTTTTATTTCATTATACAACCTAATATCTAATATCTCAAACCCAAAAAATAACTAGCTGTGAGCCTGTGATACCAAGGACCTTAGATTTGTGTAGTTGTTATAAGCATTTAAAGTGTTTCAAGTTATTTCAAATAGCCCACTCTCAAACAACCATTACTTAGTTTGTGACCCAAAACTAGTGGGGTTGTTATAAACCTATAAGATTGCCAATCCACCCAGCTGCCAAGAATTAAGCATAATTTTGAACCCTCAAAGACTCTGATGGAGCAACTGCTATAACCAGGTTATCTCAAAGTTATGTTACCCTTTCCTGGCCACTGAGTAAGCTAATAATAAGTGTAATACGAAACAATGTAGCTTTTACTAATATCATTTATTCATTCAATTGACTGTATTCAAATTCCTAGTATTTCCATTAAGATTATAGTGAAGATACATGAGCTAGAAACTCACATTCTTGTACTAACCAGTAACGAGATTCAAGAAACGTAACCCAAGTAGAATCACCGTCACATACACCTTTAACATTCAGCACTTTAACACCAACCCTGATATCATTCCTCTAATATACAAATCCAATTATCAACCTCAACAGCCGAAAACTAAAGATAGCAAAGGATCTTAAATCTAAAACATTTCCATACGAAATTATTCAATTTTCAAACTCAAAAAATCTATCCCCCAAATATATTGAATGTTTAACCTAACACAAACACAAGACTGTCATCATTTCAATCAAAACATCAATTTAAATACTCCATATATGTTAATTCAATAATCAACCAAACAACATATCTAATTTATTAAAACAACAATAAAAAATTTACAAAACTCAAACGTCAACCCATAAACCTAAATTATACCAAAAAAAATCGATTAAACCTCAGAAAAATCACAATTAAACATCAAAAACAACCAATTAAATTACTAGATCTACTAGTCAACACCTCAAAAAAAATGACCAAAACAACCATAAACCCGATTAAAACAAAAATCACAAAATTCAAAAAACCTAATCATAAAACCTAATTCAAAACAACAATCAAATCAAACATAAAACAGAAGAATTATTACGATCAAAAGGCAGAAGAATTATACCAAAAATCGATGAATTTGATGATGAAAGTTCCGGCGCTAAGAATTATCCACCCTAAACTGCAAAAAAGAGGAGAGAGAAAGCAGCGCAAGAGAGAGGAGAGAGAAAGTAGAAAGATAAAAAGGAATTTAATAGGACTTTAACGGCGTAGGTCGGCGTATTGTTGAAGACTTAACGTTTGAGTAAACGCCGTTTGATGTTATTACTTGGAGGAAACGCAAAAGGAGTTAGAATATTTGTGGTAGGGTTACAAGGCGGTGATGTATTGAGGAAGTTGGGTATTGATTGACTTTTCTAGGGTTGGATTTAATTGGTCTGTGATGGGTGGGATGTGACAGGTTTGAGGAAAGAGAAAGTAGGTCGGTTATTGCATGGTTTTGGACCAGGAGTGGAAAAATAGGTTGACAAGTATGGAAGGTCAGGGTTGAGGGAGTTTTCTGGAATTTTGCTGTTTGGTTTGAGTGATGGTGGTGCCACTTGTGGGTATCTGGGTCGATTTACTTGGGTTTTTTACAATAGACGGGGATTATTAAAGGTCGGTTCGAGTTATTGTTTTTAAGTGTCCTCAATTAGGTTAATGGAATGGATCTGGTTGGGTCAAGCTTGATCCAAACTTAGAATATTGACTTAAGAAAAATGAACTGAGTTAGAAGAAGGGTTTTTGCTGAAATTTTGCTGTTTTATTTGAGTGATAAGTAGTGACGATGGTGTCACGTGTGGATATCTAGATCAGATGACTTATGTTATTTACAATAAGGAATCAATAAACGAGTCGATCAGTTTTTGTTTAGAAGTGTCCTGGTTTAGGTTAATATATTAGGTTGGGTTGCGCATGGGCCAAACTCTAGAAAAATTGATTTCATTTGAATTATCGATATAAGTATTTAATATCATAATCTTTCAAAGTCAAATAGGGAAGAAATTGAACTATCAATCATAGAAAGTTAATTGAAAATAGATTAAAAGGTATCAAACCCTAACCTTGCTTATAACGGACGACTAAAATCAAGCCTAAGTTTAATTTCATATTAAATTTATTTACCAACTCCGAACATATAGAGTAAATGGTTGTTCGACTAATGAATAGTAATGATGTTGCCACACGTAGGGAGCCACGTCTTTTCACTTGGGTTATTTACAAGGGATCATATGTTATTTTTAATTTAGGTAAATGGATTAGGTTAGGTTGAGCATGGTTAAGACCTAAAAATTAAACTAACAAAACTTGAACCTGAATAAATCGATATAAGTTTTTAATATTAGAATCTTCAAATTCAAATTTGGAAGATATTGAACTATCAATCATAATAAGCTAATTAGCAATAGACTTAAATCTTAAACCTTGTAACAAACTACTCTTATCAACTTTGGCATTTACACAAAATTTACTTACAAAATCCAAACGTACAAAGTGACTGTATTTTACGGACTGTTGTTTTCTTCGACGACTACAGGATAGCAATGAATCAGGTTACCACACATGGGCATCGAGGTCCCTTTATTTACTTGGGTTATTTACAATAAACGATCTTAGTTTGGATCGAGTATTTGTTTAGAAGTATCTAGGTTAAGTCAATGAATTAGGTTAAGTTAAGCATGTATGGCCAAGACCTAGAAAACCTTGAAATTAAACTATCAATCATTATAAATTAGGGTGTGTTCTATTCAACTGATTTTCACTTATCTGAACTGAACTAATCTGAACTTATTTGAATTTAACTGAACTTATCTGAACTTATTTTAGTTGTAATTTGAAATTGGGTAATTCTTATCAGAACTTCTTATTTTCCCTCAACTGAACTTAAATTGACTTAACTGAACTTATCTGAACTTATTAGACTTGAAATAAGTGAAAATAAGGTGAAAAAAACAGGACCTTGATCAACAATAAACCTAAAAGGTATAAAATCTAAACCTTGTAACGTACGTACTATGTTACTCTAATTGAGTGCGACTTTATAAATATGGAAGAAATTGAACTATCAATCAGAATAAGCTAATTAGCAATTAACGTAAAAGGTATCAAATCGTAACTTTGTAACGTATGACTCTAGCTAAACTAATTTTGGCTTTTAAACATAATTTATTTACCAAATCTAAACATACAAAGTGATGGTGTTTTGTGGACTTGTTATTTTCAACTAATTTATTTATATTAATGATGTTACCGCACGTGGGCATCTAAGTCTCTTTACTTGAGTAAATTATGATAGGAGATTGTGTAGGTCAAGTCAATTTATGGATTTCAAGTGTCTTCGATTAGCTAGGTTAATATTATAGATATGTTGGGTCAATTTTGACCCGGACTTAGAACATTGACCTCACTTAAATTAAACAATATAAGTTTTTAATATCAAAATCTTCAAATTCAAATACATACAAAATTGAACTATTAATCATAATTAGCTAATTAGCTATAGACCTAAAAAGGTATCAAATTCAAACCTTGCATTGTAACGTACAACTTTAATTAAGTCAGGCTTTTAAAAAAAATTTATCTATCAAATCCAAACGTACAAAGCGATGGTGTATTATGGAACTTTGCTTTTGACGTTTGATTAATAAGTAGTAATGATGTTACCGTAGGTGGGCATCTTAATCTCTTTACGTAGGTTTTTTTTTATTACTACAAGGATAATAGGTTAGGTCGAGTTTTTGTTTAAAAGTATTATGGGCTAGGTTTATGGATTACGTTTAGTTGAGCATGCCAGACCTAGAAAACTGACCTCTATTGAATCAATCAATATAATATAAATATTTTGTATTAGAATCTTTCAAAATGTACTATAGAAAAATTTACAATCATAATATGTTAATCAACATTAATTAAACAAAAAAGTATCAAATCCTAGCCTCGAAATGTGCGAATCTAATCAAGACTAATTTTTTAACAAAATTTATTTACCAAATCTAAACGTAAAAAGTGATGGTGTTTCGTGGAATTTTGTTGTTATCTTTGACTAATTAATAGTATTGATGTTACCACATGTACGTGGGCATCTGGTTCTCTTTACTTGGTTATTTACGTCACGGGATCAATGTTCGGTTTGAGCTATTATTTCCACATGTCCTCGATTGGATTAATAGACTATATTAAGTTGAGCTAATTTGGACATTTAAAAAATTGACCTCACTTGAATAAATTGTTATAAGTTTTTGATATTATAATCTTCAAATTCAAATGTGAAAGAATTTGAACTATCAATCATAATAAGCTAATTAGCAATAGACCTAAAAGGTATCAAATTCCAATCTTGTAACATACAACTCTAATCAAGTCTGGTTTCCAGACAAATTTTATTTACCAAATCCAAACATACATAATGATGGTATTTTATGACTTTTGTTGTTATCTTCGACTAATATTTTACTTGGGTTAGTTACGATAGGGCTGAGGAACAAGAGTCAGGTTGAGTTATTGTTTTCATGTGTCCATAATTAGGTTGATAGAATAGATTAGGTTGGGTCAATATTGACACATACAAAATTAACCTCACTTAAATAAACTGATATAAGTTTTTGATATATCAGAATCATCAAATTAAAATTTGGAAGAAATTGCCTATCAATCATGATAAGCTAATTAACAATAGACATAAATGGTATCACGTCCTAATCTTGTAAAGTGCGAATCTAATCAACTCTTGCTTTTAGACAAAATTTATTTACCAAATCGAAACTTACAACGAATAGAGTGATGGTGTTTGGTGGAATTTTGTTGTTATGTTCGACTAATTAATAGTAGTGATGTTATCACAATTGGGCATCAATCTACATCACTTATTTTTTTACGACAGGTTGGGTTGAGTTTTTGTTTAAAATTATTCTTGTTTGGCTATGTATTAAATTGGATTGTGGATGGCCAAGACCTAAATTAGAAAGCTGACCTCACTTGAATCAAATAATATAAAATACTCCCTCTGTCACTTTTTATTCTTTACGCTCTGACTATTTTTCTCTCACAATTTAAACATTGATGAACGTATGAAATATGTATTTAATATTTAATATTTAATTTTTAAAGTAGTTATTAATAAACGGTGCAAATTCAAAGCAATGATAAAATTATGTAATTATTAATGTCTAGGGAAGAAACAAATGAATTTGAACAGAGAGAATCATCACAAGTCTAAATCATCACTTAGCTAGCCAACTATACACATAAAGTTTCAAACTTTCTACACAAATCACACTTTGCCACTCCAGTTAACAGGGGAAAAAAATAAATACAAAACCAATACTTAACATCACACCTATAGTTGGTTTTACATAACAAATTTATAACTAAATGCCAAGGTTTTAATATATGGTGAGTAATAATAATAGTAGCTAAATTGTAATATAATTATATAGTATATATGCTTTTTAAGAAATGGAAAACCTTCTTCTCCTAGGCTTGGTAAGATCAACTTCATCTTCCAAATGAGAAGTGTCCTTAGACCCATGTTTGAAGGGGTTAAACTTCCCTAATGTCTTTGACATCGACGAAAAGAACGTTTTCTTTGGCATACCGGTACTAGTACTTGTTTTAGAGGTTGTTGCTTTATTTTTCTGTATGTCCGAAATGTACATCTTCATCTTCATCAACTCCGACTTTAAGGCCTCATTCTCCTTGGCTAAGGAGACATCGGCTTGTAATTGGCCTCGTGTTGCTACTGCATCAGGTAAACCGCTGTCATTGGCTCCACTCCTTAGTTTTAGCTGATCGTAGTAGAGGGCGTGCAGGACCATTTGGACTGGGAGACGCTTGTTCTGTGAGGCGTGTACTCGGGCATCATAGGAGAGCTTTAGAGGGTCCATTGAGCTACATACTTTCTCTCGTTCAATCTCGTCTAGATTTGGATGAGACTACATTGGAAGAACAACCAAAATCAAAATATAGTAGGGATAAAAATTAATACACAGGTAGTAGTTTAAATCAATAAAAATTAACATAAGGTAAAGAGAATAAGGCCGAAAGATGATGTGATGGAAAATATGTTTCAGCATTATCTATGAAAAGCGTAACATATAATGGTTCTTAGCATTTAGATCCAAGGATAATTACCTTTAAATAGATGTCAATTGCTCTATATAGGTCATCATCATTTCTCCTAGCCTCCTTAGGAACAAGATTAGCAATACCATTAAACTTGGAAATACTAAGTGCTGCAT